ATTTCAGTACTTAATTTAAAAAAAGCATTAAAAATGAAAGCTTACTATTAACTGTAGGATAAGTGTCTAACTTCCTAAATGTTCAGCAAAACGTCCTTTTGTATGCTCTACAATTAAATACGGACTGTTTTGAACTATTTTTTTTTAACTTTACTATGTAATTTCATATGTCCAATCTTAGGAATAAATGTGGTCCAATAACACCTCCTTGAGGCACTCCGTGTTATTTTACTATAATAATAATAAAATTTTACAGGATTTTTTTTTATTATCTGCCATTGAAAACTCTCTTATACATTTTAAATATATAATTTAAGAAACAGTCCGTATTTCAGATTTCAATGTTTTTTAATAACTTGATACACTGTCGAACGCTTATAATAAATCGATTAGCATGTTTCCTAAAGTTAAATAAAATTTATATGCAAGTATCGATTTCTATTGTATATTCGATGAAATATGAATATTTGTGAACGCTAGATTTAGGTAGGTAATGCATGGGTAATTTCATATAGCAAATATTTATTTTTTGTTAACCTATTAGCAAATTTTCTAAAGTTGTTAGTATTTTAAGGGCCTTCAGGGAGGCTAGGTTAAACTAGACTCTGTCCTTCGCTCCTTAAATCCTGAATGTACAAAATGACTGAAAAGTCATAATAGATGTTTTCCGCTAGTTTTTGCTTAGATATTGAATAACTAAATATTGTTAGAGACGTTCCGTCGTTTCAGTGTTGCTACAATTCGAATAGTCTTTTTTCTTCGGAAATACATTTACTGTTCTATATAAATACTTCAGTTTAAAAAATCTCTGGTAAATATATCTGAATGTGGATCAATGTTAGAGCTTTATCGAATTTGATAATAATTTATGAATGAATATTTATAAAAGAAAAAAAAAACGGTAGTATATTCATTATTCACGATTTAGATGTTATTTCTGCAAATGTAACGTAGTTTTTTTTTATCTATTTTAAACGATGCTAGTTGTGTATAATGTCAGGTTAGATGTTTAGGAACGGTTCTAAAGCTTTTAGTAACTAGATGAACGCGGTAACCTCGTTTAGAACAAAGTGTGACATATGACGTCACAAATCGCTATTCGGTGTCGGCCAAAGAAGGTACCGCGTGTGCGATAATGCACAAATACTCTTATCACTCTTACTAAGGTGTGGGTTGAAAGGATATAGGATGTTTTGTTTTTTTTAGTTGCATTAGATGATTGAGTGGGACAATAAATGTGGTTCGTATTCGAGGTATTTCAAATGTGATACGTACAAGCCAGTCGTAGATCGACCACCATGTATATCTTTAGTTTAAGTTTAACGTTGCTTAAGAGTTTTTTGTAACACTATAGACGTTTTTTTTCTATATATTTAGTGTATTTGAACCGTTTTGAGCGTTCGTTTAGCGTTGCAGACTAATATTTTTGCTATTCAATTTCGTGAACACTTCTGTCCGTTTTGAATTGGCTCGCGAGGACCAATCTGGTTTACTCGTGTTGGGGAAATAAAAAAAACTCTAAACGGACTATATGGGATATACAGGATTTTTTTTGCCAGTTCCTCTTAAATGTAAGTGAGAATTTCTAAAATATTTTTATAGCTATAAGTGTGGGGAAGTTAATTTTTTACGATGGTACTGTTAATGTGCATCTATTCTGGCAATAATCTCATTAAAACTAAAAGCGCGCCACTTTAGACTAAACTATCGCACAATGGTTTAGTCTCGCTTTGTTTTCTATACTATTCGATTTTTAGTTGTGCAACTAAACAGTTGAATATGCTGCGAAACAATCGACAATCGCACAACAGTCGTGCGATAGTTTAGTCAAAGATGTACGCCCGCTCTAAATATGGTTAATATTTGGTGTAGTGTTGCCAGGATGAGACTCAGTGGGTTTATGTATGGGAAGTATTAAGTACGACTCGCAGTTTGTTTTTTTTTCTCTATAACTATCGCAATTCAGTTCGGAATCATTGCGCCGTTCTTTATGCATACTTATGATTAGTTTTTAATTGTGGTGCTAAACTACGCTCTTGTCGACACCAATAATGTATTTGTACGTTTAATTTTTAAGTTATAAGTGACATTTAAGTAACAGTGTGTCTATAGTGTTCTGTTGTAACGTAAATGATTGTATCGATGGTTTTTTTCTGGTTTTTTGGAATTTTTTTGTAATTTTTCACATCATTATCACAAGATTTATATGTTACGCTTAAAGCTTTTGTAAGGGGATCTGTTTTTTTTCAGTAATGTAACTAATATTCCATAGTAATCATCACATTTGAAATGGTTGCAAATATAAAAGTATGTTAAAAGTAATGATTGTAACTCCTTTTGAAATATAGTATTTTTATGTCAATGAAATGCTATAAAGTATTGTATCTTTGTCTCGATGTTGAAAGTAATAACCACTGCCACTGTTACGCATTAACTTATGTTTTAGTGATTTTTGCATTGTTATTGTTTCATATAAGCTATTCTAGCTAAGCTTCGTAGTTTAAAAAAAAATGTAATAGTGATATGTCGAACGTAATTCGCTAGTCCCTCTCTGTGTAAAATTTTTTGATCTGTCAGTATGAATTTTTTTTAAACCTATTAGATGTTTGTAAATGTAATTGAAAGGTAAAAAATTATTGTTGAAAAAAAAAAAACAAAAAAATATACTGTCTGTGGTGAATATCGAATTTTATGAGCTTATTATAAATATTTGAATTCCAATGGTATTGGTACTGCGAATTATCACGAATGCTGTATTTGTTACAATTTGATATTGCACATTGCTTTTGTAAAAAATGATCAATTAATATTTTTTCACAAATTAATCCTTAATCAAAAATATGGCAATAATTTCCTGCTTGACAGCGTTTTTTTCTTTGTATGTTGGTAACTGTAATTAGTACCAACCTCAGAAAAAAAACCCGCTCTGTAAAAATGAGCTTTTTTTCGAAATATTTCAAACCCACCTAAAAACTATCCCCAGTTTACAATTATCTAAAAAAAACTTTTGTTTGGTTAAAAGTAAAGTACTGGTCTGTCTTTTAATTATAATCTGTATGTCTGTTATTAAATTCTACGTAAGATTTCTTAATGGTTTCGTCAATTGGGTTTCCTTGACTAAAAACTTTTTTTATATTATACGCAAAAATGATTACCACTTGTGTTAAGTGTACAAAATGTGATGTGCAATATCGAAAAAATAAAGTACAATTGAGTTAAAAACTTCTAAAACGATGCTAAAAAAAGGTATTTCGTAATCTGGCAAGTTAGCTCTCGCATTGGACCAAGGAGTGTACGAGCTCACTTCACTCGCTGACGGTACATATAGCATTTTACATAGAGAATGTAATTAAATATTTTAATCTCCCCTTTTCTTGGTGTTTCCATGTATACAATCTTGTGGTAAATGTTTAGATGCAATGGCAACTTTACAGACTGATTTTAGAGCAGATTTATGGTAATTTGATGAATCGCTCGATGGTTTGTTGTAGGAATCTGCTCCAGTGCAGTATTATCGGACGGTAGTTATGTGCAAAACAATATAACCTCAAAATTGTACTAAAATGGCAACCCCAGATTAGTCTATAGTATCTTAGAAGGGTATCGGTCGTTGGGCACAACAATTTTTATGGATCGGTCTATTTTTTATTTATTTTAAGTATAACGTTAGTTTTTTGAGGTTATATCACGCTTTTTATCTTGACCCGCCGTGTTTTCTAGAAGTTTCCATAGTATACGTACACCTGTGATAAAAAAAAACGAAAGGAATCTCTGATCGGTCGCCATGTTGGAGCTGTCACTTTGACAGTTGTCTATGCTTCCGCAGATTGCACATAGTTACCGCTCCCTGTAGGAATACAGTATCAATTAGGCGTAAATCGGTGTTTTTAAACTAGTTGATGATATTGAATATAGTCTACGCCAAATTGTCTGTTAAATTGTTGTGAAATATGAATGTTAAATGTTGTACTCCTGTCCAAAAGTGTAGGGTATTGTTTATCTCAATATTCAGTAGTTTATGCTAGATGCAGACTTGATTTTTTTTCTTACTAATGATTTGTTACTGTTTTGGCACTGTATTAATTACCTTCTGACGAAAAATATATGTAATGATGAAGATGTGCAGTTTTATTTTTTATCCCTAATTTTAGCAATTACTAAAAGTGCAGTAACATTAGGGCCTTTCCCATCGCTGGCTGATAGAGGCTAAGATATCTTAAGAATGACGTCACTGTAAAATAACGGAACGAAATCTGATATTTCCATCACATTTTACACGTTCGATTGTTATCAGACAATTTACAATTTGATGGGACAGGCCCTAAGGGGACCAGTTTACGAGTATCTACCGAGGCGAGTACACTATTTTCTCGAAGCGTTTCAGGTCACTTTGGACACTCTTGTAACTTCGTTGTGGATAAAGATAGAAGCTTGAAATTTTGAACATCAATAGATATACCGGAATTCATTATATTGCCGAAATATCCTTTAATTGTACTTAGTAGTTTACAAAATATAGCTAGTTGAATTCAGTTTTTTTACACAAATGGGTTTCGTAATTTTAAGGCACTTCCAATGGTAATAAAAACTTGAGATTTAGAATTTAGTGACCGGTCTATCTATTGATATGTGAGAAAATGAAAAATCTTGAAATTTGATGATTTTGAAAATTTGTCATTTCCATAGAAAATATAACAAAACTTCGTTGTATATGAAGCTAGAGGTCTAAAAGTTTTGACATAAATAGATGCCACATCAATCTTCAAATTAACATACGTCGTTCCCGAGAGCTCTGCTTCAATTTAGATAAAAAATGGAATAAACAGTAAGTTGTATTCTTTCGAAATGATGGCACCGTGTTATTACTACGCCTTTATAATAGACACTAACTAAAATCGAGACTACAGAAAGCGAGACTCGGCATTCCTTATATTTTTCACGAGATATTATTTCCCTTAGGCAATAATAAATTGAAGTTTGATTAGAATAAAAATACAACAAATATTTCAAATAATTTATTTATCAATCTATATACATTCTATAAGGGCGGGAATACACATGCATTGATGGTACGAGGTTAACATACTGGCGTAACGCATACCAGTTACCACTGGCGAATTTCCTTCATTTATCAAATTTGACAACTTTGCCGAGTCGTCCCTTAGGCACGTCTATAGAGGGCAATGTGTCAGTGACGATGCCCGTAGCGACGGTGACATTGTTCTCTCGTATGGTGAACCTTTGTCCTGACGTCATCACCATGCCCTCCAGCAACGTGAGGTATACGTCCCCGTGCTCGCCCGGCATCATCATCTCTACTGTTGGCTCTGTTAGAAATGTTTACTTTTATTGTACAGCGATTGTTCGCGATTGACTCCGCGTGGAATTAAAAAAAAACAATAAAAAATACAGCCTATGTCACTCACTGATAACGTAGCTTTTTAACGGTGAAAGAATTTTTGAAATTGAATACGTCATCAATAATATAGGCTATGTTTTTTATTATTTTTTAATTTAACACGGGCGAAGTCGCAAGAAAAGTTTATATTCGTGAAATTTTCAATTGCAAATGTCAAAATTCAGATCACCTTTGTCATTAGATAACAGCTACCATAGCAACCTTGCTTCTATGATGTTAGGCAGTTTTTGTCCCTTTCCCGCATGACGGTTTTTTTCCCAAATTATTTACACCCTAAGTTTAATGGCGTGAAAATTTATAGCCTAAAGCGTGACGTAAGTGTAGGGCTTTTTATTAAAAAGATAATTATTCAAAAACATGCTGTAATTGCTGACATCTTTGGCAACAAAGAAGTGTGTGTTTACGCTTTATTATAACAGTATAGAAGTATAGATTAGTGCTAGTATGAGTATACATATACGTACCAAGATCTATCCTACAAGCAATATTCCACGTCCCGCTGTACATTTGCTGTGAATACTTTGAGACTATAGGTTTCTTTCTGCCGCCTTCCGCCCGCGACAGAAAGTACACTTTAGCCTTATAATGGTTGCTAAGTTTTGCACTCCGCGCCGCGCATAGCAACATGCCCGTCTCTACCATACGCAACTTTAAACCTCTCAACAACACGCCCACATTATCACCAGCTAACGCCTAAAAATATAACACACATAAAAACAGACGAATTGAGTACCTTTTGGGGAGTCAATCAAAAAAAATGTATAACATAACATTTTTACCCGACTGACTTTTGTTTTTAATTACACGCGGACGGAGTCGCGGGCGAAAGCTAGTGATTTATATGTTTCACTAGCTGTACGACTTCGTCCGCATAAAATTATGAAAAATTTATTTTATTGTTTACAATTATCAATTGCAAATGTCCAAATACCAATTACCTTACTATGGCAATCTTGCTTCCTTGATGTTGGTAGCAACTTATGGTACTTACTCTTTCCCACATTAGGGTTTTTATATAAAATATTTACCCCCTAAGTTTAATGGCATTTAAATATAAAGCCGAAAGCGTGACGTAAGTGTAGGGTTTTTTTTTATTAAAAAAAGGATTATTCAAAAATATGCTGTAATTGCTGACATCTTAGGCAACAAACAGGCGTGTGTTTACGGTTTATTATAATAGTATAGAAGTATAGATTAAAGCACAGATAAAATTGAATACAATTTGCAATAAAAATTACCTCAGTAACACTATTCTTGAATATCTGTATATCAGATAATGTAGTTTTAATACTAAATCCAAATCCCATTAAATCAGCATTATCATTTTTCTTCATAACACCTTGTTTCAAAGTACCAACGACCACAGTACCTCGGCCGGGAACTGTGAACGCATTGTCTATGGGCATCAAAAACGGTGACGTCAAATCTCTCTGGATAGACGGCACGTAATTGTCTATGGCGTCTAATAATTTTCTTATTGATGGCATACCTGATTTAAAAAATAATAAATTTATTAGTAAGAAAACATCAATTTAGATCTTTTTTGCTTTAGACTACTGTACTTAAAATATTATAAAAAGGTCAGATTTTTATTTTTGTATGTATTGAAATAAACCAAAAAATACTAGACCATTAAAGAGCTGTTTTATCAGTGACTGACGTAGCTATACTTTAAACTTTTTTTTTTAAATTCCACGCGGTCGAAGTCACGAGCAACAGCTAGTTATAAATATTTTTACCAATGTAGTTGTACTCACCGTATTCCGATTCATCTTCGTTAAGTGCTTTCATTGCTGATCCAGTTATCATAGGTACAGCGATTCCATCGTAACCAAAATCTGTTAGCATCTCACGCATCTCTATCTCTACTAATTCTAAAAGCTAAGTAATAAAGCACATAAGACAAACATAAAAGATTTGACAAGGACTTCAATTAAATAGTGTAAAAGATGTAACAAAAGACAGATCAATTTACAATTATTTATGTAAATATATGTTTTGTTTGCCCAAGAATATATAAATACACTAGGTTTCAGCCGCGACTCTATCTGCGTGGATTAAAAAAAAAAGTGAATAGCTTGTTTTCTTCCAGACTATCCTCTACGTCTATGCCAAATTTCATCAAAATCTGTTCAGCCGTTTAGGGTTCAAAGTCTAACAAACATCCATATAAACTTTCGCATTTATATTATTAGTAAGAAGTAAGATTTTTCACATTGCAGAATAACAAGGAACTAATTCATTTGTTTTTGAAGGATCCCAGGCCAAGATCATTCTGTACTTGGTAAAGCTTTATATGGTTTTAATTATTTTTCGACACTCAAAGATTGGAAGACCATTATTTTCTACTCATCTTATCTATTAAATTGATTATAATAAAAAATAGCCAAAACCTACAAAAATATGTACATTTACTGTCAAGGTATTATTCATTAATGTAATAGAAATCAAATACAAACCTCCATATCAACAAGATCAGCTTTGTTTATATAAACAAGAATATATTGAATGCCAACTTGTTTGGCCAGTAATAAATGCTCTCTAGTTTGAGGCATCGGCCCATCATTGGCAGCTACAACTAAAATGGCCGCATCCATCTGAGATGCTCCAGATATCATATTACGTATATAATCTGCATGTCCAGGACAATCTGTGTGTGCGTAGTGTCGTGTTTTTGTACTATAGCCCACATGTGCTGCGTTTATAGTAATACCTTAAAAGAAAAATAACAAAATATTATTGTTAATATATACGGAAAATTAATTTCTCTCTAGAGAGAGCTTATCTACTGTCTTATATAGAAATGGGGCCCGCTTTCCAATAAAAACCCTTAGGTCCACTCGCAATCTTCGTAAAACTAAAGAATCAAAATAAAATGCAGATAATTTTAAGCTAGCAACCGGCATATATGTAAATATGCGGTTTAAGATATTTAGATATTACATTTAATGAGTTATTTTCATACAACTTAGAACTTACCTCTAGCTTTTTCTTCAGGCGCTTTGTCAATTTCGTCGTATGAAATGAATTTTGCCGACCCATCCTTTGACAATACCTTAGTTATAGCCGCCGTTAGAGTTGTTTTGCCATGATCTACATGTCCTATTGTTCCTATATTACAATGTTTCTTCTCTTTAATTTTAACTTTGGATTTCGTACAGTATTTTTTAATATATTCATTTGATACACTTATCAATACCCTATTACTGTTTTGAAAACTGTGGTTAATTAATAATTTCTTTGGGTAATTACAAAAAATCGAAAGAAATAACCTCCCATTCATATTATTAAGAAAATTATTTATTATTACATCAAACTAATTTTGAGGTTACTTTGAAATTGACATCTATCAGCTGTCGTAGTGATGTGACAAGTTGCTAGACTTTCCGAGCACAAAGTAGAATTACCGTAAAACCGGTAAAGTTCGTTAATGAAATTCTGTATTATATTAAACTACTAAACTATTAAATTCGAACTAAAAAAATGTTAAATCATAGAAAAACGATGTTCAACTCTTGTACTATCAAATAAATGTACTAATGTCTTCCGAATTTACAAAAAAACCGATGTACATTTTAATTTAGCAATAAGTCTGTTGTTTCTTGGTGTATTTTACCTAATGAAATTAAATTTCTCCTTCTTTCAAACTTGACTCGCAGTTACAATTTACTTACGCCATAAAAAAATAGACTTATGGTTTCTGACTTGTCCCTGGGTAATAAAGGCAGGAATCTTTTACCTGTAGAAATGTTAAGGATGAGACATTCCAGAATAATTGCACTAGATAATAATTTATTACTAAGACAAATATATACAATTTTATTTAAATTGAAGTCATTACACATAATACGTACATAAACAGCCTTAAATAGAAACAAAACATGTTCGTAATATAAAAGTGGATTCATAAAAACAATACAGTCATCAAAAACACTAATTTTGACTTCAGGCTGAAGAAATGATGAAGAATATAATTTTTTACACAACTAATTACAATTGTTTATATTCTTTAAAAATTCTAGTAGCCTTAAAGCGGGAATACACTTGCCATTAACTGGCGTACTAGAATGTAAACAGATAGTACAATGTTTAATTTTTTGACAGATTTCCATTCAAAAACTCGAAACTGACAATATCTCGTGATCTGGAATGTGTATTCCCGGCCTTAAATTAGTAGGCAAGTAGGGCAAACATGCATGTGAATGTCATGTATTCAAAATAATCATAGCTGTCGTTCGTCGTGTGTTTTGTATATTAAAAAAAATTACATCAGTAGTCAGTAAAAGTGAAGCTATTCACAGTTAGGCTATGACAAAATTTCTACGGCTAATTTTCGTCCGTCCGTCCAGTGAACTCTATCACATTATCTAGATAGCTAGAACAAAGCAGATTTCTATTCCTATATATCATATGTATCTACTCCTAAAATAGGACATTATCTTTTAGATATATTTCATTTAGAAATTTCGCTGTCCGACCTAGCGGCGAAAACAAAAAATAATAAAAAAACGGTAAACGGTTAAATCGTTGAACGCCCATCACTAGTAGAAATTTACAGATAATTATTTCGTAACATACAAAAATGCAAATTGACATATAAATTAGCTTTTTAATTTTAGTTACATATACGGAATACTTAGATTACTTAAGTTTAACATACAACTGCTTTAGAAGGGCATAAGAAAGGCATATACAAGTTTATGCAAGGAAATAGAAACAAGCTGTAGGTGGCTCAATTTTACAATTTACATGGCAACCCTAAACAAGTCACATATAACAATTTAATACAATAATAACCTTAAAATGTTATAAATGCTTAAATACAATACAATTTTAATGCCATAGAAACGTTTTTTTTAGTCATGTCCTATTATAATAAAGAGTTTCACTTATTTTCACCTGTTTACATTTTCTGTATAGAAATACAGATGGGGCTAATTTTTGCAGTTACAAGCTACTTATGTCACTAAATTAACACTATTAACACTGACTCACTGGAATAGCGTCTGGAAGGAGCAACACTTTTGTATATGTCTGTTCACTCTCTGATAATATAAGGTTGATTTTCATTGTTTCAACACTCTATAATGCAATGTGAATTCAACATTGGACTTCCATATGAAGTGGCGGACTGTCCTCAAGTCCATATTAGGGTCGAGAACCTGAAAATATACATTTAATTACTACAAATTGTCACAAAATTTAATTTTGCGACCATACATGGGTACCAACCCAAAGTGGTATGATCACAAGATTTATTAAGGTGTTTTTATTTATATTATATTTATTTTAACTCTTTCCACAGTGGATAATAATTTTTTTGAAACATTAGTGGATTTTTATTAATTTACTAATATTTCCTTTAACCATTCCAACTAAGCAAGGCTTGTGCTGGGATATGGTTCACAACAATAGTCGAATGGCGGGATTCGAACCCTCGACCTCAAGATCGGTAGTCCGTACCACAAACCATTAGGCTATTGGCGCTTAATTTAATATTATAAAAGTTTAGATGGAACGATGGATGTTTCTTACGAGTTTGTTGCCTAAACTGCTAAACGGATTTTGACAAAATTAGGCAAAAATAAAGAGAATAGTCTTGAAGCACACATAGGCTACATATGTTTATTTTTTCAATTCCATGCAGACGAAGTCGCGGGCGAAAGCTAGTAATCAATAAATAATTTAATTCAATATCATACATATTCTTTACAAGTAGGTTGTTAAGGTTGTTCTTGGGTGAAATTTAAGTTATATTTATTGATCAATTTACTAAAACTGAGATCATCTTAACATCTTGTAAGCTTATTCACCAATTTACAAAAATAAACCAATAAATTGATAACCTCCTATAGGAAGTTGTATAAAAATCATATACATGAGTCAGCCATGTTATGCTTTAATAATATAGTCCTCTTTAGGTCTTATGTTTTCTTCAAATTTGTACAGAATAATCTTACCAATAACCCCATTTCTACATGTGTCAACCATCCGCCTTCCTCCACTACCAATATGGCCGTCGTGTAGCCCAGGTTAATACAATGCTTTTATTTCTGACATCTCTACTGTCCGATTATTAACATAACAAATAGAATTCTTACATTTAAACAAATATTTAAATAATGCATTTGACCATAATTACAAAGTCTATATTGTTATTTTAAAAAAAAAATAAATGGTATTGATTTATAGCACAGACTAAATAACTTTTAAGAATACAGACTACATCAAAATAGTTAAAGAGCTAACACATAGTATCAACTTTTTACCTGATCGCAGCACAGCAGTTCCACTCGTTCTTCAGCTGGGTCATTACCACTATCCTCATTGGTCTTACTGCTACCGCTGGCACCATTTACATCACCACCACCCACTATCTTTTCTACCACATGCTCTGCCACCTTCCGGCATTGGATGAAGTCATTTGCCACCAACCGATCCTGGAAGTCAATCATCCATTTATAAAACACTAGCTTCAGTCCATTGATATAAAGAAAAAAAATTACAATTTGATAGACGTCAAAATAAAAAAGTAGCCAAACATCCTAACAAATAAACACGGTATAAAATTAAAATTAGAAATAAAATGATAGTCTGGACGGACACATACATCGCTTTTGATTTTTTTTTAACTTATAATATAGAACAATGTCAACTTCCCTGATAGTACAATTTGAAAAATTACGCTCCGCTGCTTGTGGAATGTGTATTTAAGTTGTCTTTGGAATTATGATGCGATTAATGTCTCATTGGGTATTAAAAAAGATTAGCATTTCAGTGGCTTCTATTGGATAAATAAATTATATATATCTACATAAAATTTAATTTAATTAAAGTTAGAAAATTATCTCGTTCCTATCCAAAATCGAAATATTTCAACCGTAGACAGTGTCATTTTATGGTAACACTCAAAAATAATACAATTTTTATTTTATTTAGGGCCTGTCCACTGTCTGATAGCTCAGATAGCCTAATGACGTCAGATAAGGGAACAAAATCCAATATTTCCAACACATATTTTACATGTTGGATTTTTATCAGACAATTTAAAATTTGGTGGGACAGGGCCTGAATATTTAATACTCAAATTTAATATTAATAATGATAATAAACATTTAATCAGTTCCAAAACACATTGCAATATAATACAACATAATACAATTGAAGAAAAAAAAAATACAAACAAGAAAAAAGAGAGTTTGTATTTTTTTTTGTAAGAATTCTGCAATTTAGTAAATAACATCTATCAAATATCCTTCTGTCTGAATTTTGAAATTTAAAAGTAAAAAGTAAAAAGTAAAATATCTCATTCTAATTAAATTCAACAATATGTAGGCATACCTTTTTCTGTCTATCCTGTTTGCTTTGACAACTGGAATGTGACAATAAATAGAATGGCAATTTGTTTAGTTTAGGAGCGGCCATTTCCACCGCAACATCAACAACCCAAGACGGAACTGTCTCTATTAGCAAGTTACCTTCAGTTTCACCTCCCGCATCTGCAACCTGAAATAAGCAGTTCAATATTAAACAAATTTTAGTAGATTTGTGGTAGAGCCCGCTTTAACATATTTGCATAAATGGGCCGGCTCGCCCGGTGTAATACCACAACCACACAGAAAACAGGCGTAGGCGCGGAAGTAGAAGCAATTCCGCGTTTCCTCTGATGAGTATGGTGCCAGAGGCCTAATTTTAGTCCCTATCCCTTTTCACCCTATTCTTAAGAAAGGATGGGAAGGAAAAGTGGATTTGACAGTGGAGGAGACGCATAGGAAGGGGAAATGTCCTCTTTATGTGCGTCTCCTCCGTCAATGAAGGATTGGCAACGCATCTGCAATTGCGGATGTTTATGGGCAGTGGTCGCTTTCCATTTCGGTCTATTCAGGTGGCCGCTTGCTCATTTGCCACTTCATATTATAAAAAAAAATTACATAACTATTTTTTTTAATAACAGTAGGAGCAAACAAGTAATGGGAATGAGGATCAATGAATGAAAGGGTCACGAGTTACTCTTTTTATGGCATTTGTGTTTTATTTCATTATTGTTTTAGTTGTATAAAACTATAGTACATTATTATTACAGTTACAGTTAAAGTAGTCTAAATATTATAGGGTTTTCTTTACAATTTCATAAAGTATTGTAAATCATAACAAAAACACTTTGGCACTCTTTACTTTTACATAACTTATATTATCTACTCAATTGCCAGGATTTCTAATAAGAATATAGAAAAGTAAATTTAAGTCTTATTTAAGGGTACATGTTTATTATGTGAAATGAAAATAAAAACTAATAGATGAGTTAGATCTAAAAAGAAAAGTTATGGTGAGCAATTCAAACTTTGTCTTTTCACTGTATTTTCAAATTTCTAGTTGTCATATTCACTGCATGTGTTTTGTAAAGATAAAATATAACCTGACACTCCGTGAAAGTAGACAAATCAAATAGAACCTCAATCATTAAGTCAATTCATCCATTTAGGCTATAAATTCAATTTACGTAAATAAAAACAATCTTTATACATGTAAAAACTTTTTTGTAAATTCTGTAATAATCAAAATATTTACCTGCAATCTGTACAATGTCCTGCCGCCAACTTCACTGAATATTAAAGGTGTATGCAGGGGAACGCTGAAGAAATTATTGCCCATAACCTTTTGACCACCTTCATTGGCCCTATTCGGATGATTCCAGTGTTCCAGCAAAGCTTGCAGCAATAACGCACCAAAATTAACCTTCTGATCATTCTCTATAGTTAATCCTGCCTCTTTCGCACTGACCCATGCACTCAAGCAATCAGTCTCATCTTGTCCTAAATGTATTGTTAACATACCAGTCTTCAAATCAACGTTGAACCAATTAGGAACGTAAACCATTTTGAAACGCTTCTTAACCTCTTCATCGTAATCTATTTCACCTAAATCTTCAAGTTTACTAGCTTTTAACACATCATAGAGCATAACATGATTGGCAGTGTCTTTCGTTAAGATATGTCTCTTGTCATTTAATACTGTATAATGTTTTATAGCTCTGCCTCCGGGTATATTATACATTGGTTGCGTTTGATATACATTATTTGTATTGTAACTATTTTGATTATAAATATCGGATAAGGTGTTATGTGGTGGTAGTTTCCAACATCTTATATCAGAATCAGATGTTGATACCCAAACACCTAACTGGTCTGCGGTGAAGCACATTTTCAATATAGGTGCGGTCTCTTCGCATACAATCATAAAGTTATCAGGGTTTTTTAACTCTGTTATTATAACTAATCTGTCACGACCACCGGATATTATGTGTGAAAATGTTTCTGTTGCGAGTAGGGCCCATACAGCTTCAGAGTGCACTCTTATAGTGGACACACACCTCTGTTGAGATAATGACCATAGCTTTATTGTGCCGTCAGAACTACCGGAGACACATTGCAATCCGTCCCGACTGACAACTAAAGCTTTAACATTATCTGCATGTCCTTTTAACTTCATTAATCTAGAACAATTTCTAGGATCCCAAACTCTTAATACTTTCTCAGTTGAACCACTCACAAGTATAGTTCCCGGTGGGTTCATAGCAAGACTGTATATAGACTCTTTATTACCGACAAGACTAGATGTTGTTACTGTATTATTACTGGCTGTTAATGCAGTTAAAGTGTTTACATCCCAGAGAAAAATAGCTCGATCCAGACCTGCACTAGCTACCTGCTCTTTGTCCTTAGCATAGGCTAATGTACGTACATAATCCTTATGAGTTCGTAATGTCGACATACAGAAACCTTTAGGTGCATTCCACACTTTGACAGTCGTATCAGACGAAGCGCTAATAAGATTTTTACCACCGCAACAAAGTACTATATCGTTCACCCAATCTGTGTGATGCTCCATACTTTGGATGTATCTATCTTGGGCTCCTGTACCCGCGTGCCAGACGCGTATAATACCATCGCGACCGGCGGAGTATAATCTGCCCTGAATCGGATCCAATTGAAGCGAACTAACACCATTTTTATGCCGCCTCTCCTCCTCGTCCCTAATCACAAACGACACTTGTGTCTTCTTACGCATTATCGAGCTCATTTTCCGACATCTTAAAATGTAATTATAATTTTATTAGCGCTCAACTAAGGAGGAGCAAGTTGGGGAAAAGCCTCTGCGTTTTGTTTCACACTTTTGAGTTTGACGTTTGTAATTTTGTGATCACAGATAATCCTCTCTCTATGGAATAGATAATTTCTTTGGAGTTATCTGTACTATTTGAATGTATTTTGGCCACCGAACTGCATAAATGGGTAGGTGTTTGCTAGGACATGACAGCTTTTGCATTGTTCCGAATTAGTCAAACGCTGGTGAGTTGGTGAGCAAAGTGCGCCTTTTATACTACTATTCTTTCAGATAATATGTAAAAATGGACAAAAACATAAAAAATGGCATAAAAACAAGGCGCTTATAAGCTAACACAATTCAGTTTCAATCACGAACTTCGGCTCACATACGTTTTTTTCTTTCAGTTAGAAAATAAAAAGGACAAGGTTTATTGATAAATTCAATAAAATACCTACTATTTTTAAACCTCGTTGTTTTCGTTTTTTTTAATGTAATAAATGAAACTTTACATTAATAAATGTATAATTGGCAAATTGTTACATTAAAAACAAGGTAAACCAGAATGCAGAGTACACATATGATATGACATCTGTCAAAAAAATTTGTAGTAAGTAAAATCAAGAATAATGGCAGAGTTTTAATCAGTTTTCTCACTGTTCGGTTTATCATTAATTAAACTATTTCATTTTAGACTTGTATGAGGTCAGATAGGATGACAAGCCAGCCACAAAGGACCAAACAGGCAATGAGGTAATGTAACTGTTATATTTGTTATAGTTGAATTAACAGAATGACTATTTGCTATTTTATTTCAACAGGCGTTCGAATCGCAACGCAATGTTCAAGGCTTATGTTATTTTTAAAACCTTAGTTTTTCAAAACTGTCTTATTTTGTCGCCTGCAGTTACAATTACAAAGCCTTTTGGAGAAAACATAACCAAATAGATTATATTACTATACACCACAGAACAATGCACTGGCTTAAACAAGACGTAAGTGCTAGTTCGGCAAAATTAATTACGTACTTGTATTTTAAAACGCAAATATTATCCTTAATTAGAATATTTCATAATATTTTAAACAAGACAGTACTGTAGAGACTAAAAAGCTCACCATTTCAGTGCAAAAATAAATAAATTTAAAATAATTATTTTATCTCACTCGATAACGATTTAATACATCTTTACTTTATGATATCCGTAGTATAACTATCTATACATAACATACATCTTTACTTAGACAGGCCCCAATCAAAGTTTAAAAATAATTATATGTTGATTAGTTGATTAACTTTGAAGCGGTTCCATAATTTCGCAATATTATAAAATCTTTTTTTGCGAGTCATTATCACATTTTTTTTACATTTGAAACATATATATATGATGGATGATGAGGTTTATTTTTAGACGGCTACGAGACATCGCTGGTGCAAAACAATGATATTAAGAATATCAGTTTTATATTTACTATGTGTTACTTTATCATTTATAGAGAGTGCTCGAATATTGGGTGTATTTCCTACACCATCTATCAGTCACCAAGTTGTTTTCCGTACCCTAACACATGAATTGGCACGGAGAGGTCACGAGGTTGTTGTTATTACAACGGACCCTGTACATCCAAAAGAGAAAGTTCCCGAAAACTTAACTGAAATAGATGTCCATGATTTGTCTTATTCAAAATGGAACAAGGTCGTGTCTGAAATGGAAGATGGTTCAAGAGATGTCACCTCGCAAGTGAAAGCAATTATTCTTGTAGGCATGGAAATTTTCGAAGATCAAATGAAGACTGAAAGTGTACAAAAGTTGTTATCATATAAAGATGATCATTTTGATTTGATACTTGTCGAGGCCTTGGTATCATATACTTTAGGATTCTCGCATGTTTTTAAGGCACCTGTTATTTTAGTTAGTTCTTTTGCTGGAGTTTGGGAAAACTATGAAGTTATAGGAGCACCAACACATCCAATTTTATATCCGAGTTCAGTAAGAGATAGAGTTAACAATATAACAATGTGGGAAAAAATTGTTCAGTTAAAGAAGGATTACAAAATGATGGCTATGAAAAAAAATTATGACATGATGAACAACTTAATCAAGAAAGTATTTGATGCAGACACTCCTCCAATTCAGAAATTGTTTGACAATGTAGCAATGTTGTTTTTAAACGTCCATCCTATTTGGGACAACAACCGTCCTGTGCCTCCAGGTGTGATCTACATGGGTGGATTACACCAGAATCCAATAAGAGAATTACCTAAGGTATGGCCTTTTTAATATTATTTTAAATTCTGTAATCTCGTCTTAACTTTTTGCGAGCTAGCAATTTCGCATATTGCGCGTAGAATAAAAGTTTAGTCTTAACAAAATCTGTTTCCTGATTGGTGAACCTTTGTTTCTTTCATAAATTACAAGGTGGCAAACGAGCAACCTGAAACCGCCGAAATGGCGAGGCGACCGCTGCTCATATACATCCGCAATTGCAAATGCGTTGCCTACCCTTTATCGACGGAGGAGGACATGCACATTAAGAGGATGTTTCCCCTTCCCATGCGTCTCCTCCACCGTTTTTCTACTTTTTCTTCCCATCACTTCCTCAGAAGAAAAGGGTGTAAAGGGAAAGAGACTAAAATTAGGTCTCCGATACCACACTCATCATACTGTACGCGGAATTACTTCCACTTCAAGCCTGTCTTCTGTGTGGTTATGATATTGCACTGGAGAGGCGGCCTGTTTGTGCGAAGATGTTAAAGCGGGATCTACCACTGTTAAACGTGCGTTGCGTGCGCTTTTGTTCAGGTAATGGAACCAAACCTACATACTCCAGAAATACGGCAAGAGTGGAGGATGACGGGTTTTAAATTTGAATCCTATTGTAAATATCTGACTTTTTCATTCTGATAAAATGTTACATAACTTTTGTCTATGTCTCTGGGTTTTAAGAATTATGAACATAATTATCGTTAAAACATAAATGTTTTTACAGGATATAAAAGAATATCTCGACTCATCTAAAAACGGTGTTATTTACTTTAGTTTGGGCACAAATGTAAAACCGTCTTACGTGCCTCCAGAAAAGCTACAAGCTATTGTAAACGTATTTTCACGACTGCCGTATGATGTTCTATGGAAATGGGACAACGATGAACTGCCAGGTCGATCAAATAATATAAAATTAGCCAAATGGTTACCACAATCTGATTTATTAAGTGAGTATTGCTGTTGATTTTTAACCGACTTCCAAGAAGCAATCTATCTCATAAGTCATCCGTAGTAGCAAGCAAAGGCAGTTTACTTTTGCCACACCACTCAATCAATTGTGAGACCCCAATGTCTAAGTCACTTCCTTGAACAATAAGCAATAATTTCTTATTTCAGGGCATCCAAAAGTGAAATTGTTCATAACTCAAGGAGGTTTACAGTCAACGGATGAAGCAATCTCTGCTGGAGTGCCTTTGATTGGTATACCCTTGCTAGCGGACCAATGGTACAATGTGGAAAAATATGTGGAACATAAAATTGGAGTCAGGATTGACATAGATACAGTGACAGAAGAAATATTCGAAACCGCAATACAAACCGTTATTAAAGACAAAAGGTATGTAATCTGCTACTTGGTACTTATTTACTTATACATATTACGTATAAATTCTGATCTACCTAAAAAGTTTAAGTCACAGAGATTTGAATCGAAGAGCTGTGGCTCAAACACTAAATTAGCACCTAACAGTTCAAAGCCTTGTACTAAAACTATGTAAGCCGAGTCGGCAGCTGCCTGGTGTCTCGCAATTCGCAGTTCGAAACACAAATCATAATTATATGCATTTAAAAATTGAGCTGAGCTGCGAGACAGAACACTGTTCTGCTTTACACATTTGAAACAAAACAACTTTTCTCTTTCAATTTTTACATAACTACAGTGTAGTTCGAGTCCAATATGCAACAAAACACATGCACACATACTTATCTATAAATGTATTATTTTCTATGTTCCAGTTATCGTGAGAACATAGTTCGACTGCGCAGTATAATGAATGACCAGCCGCAAAGTCCGCTAGAGCGCGCCGTGTGGTGGACAGAGCACGTGTTACGTCACGGCGGCGCGCGTCACTTAAGGAGTCCGGCCGCTAACATCTCATTAACTCAATATCTAGAATTAGAACTTGTATTTACCCTCGCTACTATATTAATATTGTCACTATATATTCTGTTTATAGTTATCAAGGCACTTTGGCATTTTGTACATACAAGTTTATCTTTAAAAGTCAAAATTAAAAAGCCTTAACTAATTGTTTATGTTTAGAATGACATATGACTGACTTTGTTTGTTAACAAAATTCATAAGTTTATATTAAATAGAGTTTTCCTTTCATTACATTACTTGGCATTTAAGCAGCCTTTACCATGAAGAAATGCAGCGGGCAGATGAAGAGAGTCGAAAATTCTAAAATGAATAAAACAAAGAAATTTAAAATAGTATTTTTCTCATAATTCCTATCGTCCTACATAGATTATTCAAAGACTTATCAGTTATTTATTAAAAATATCACAGACTTTTGAAAACCAGTATTTTTAGCCTCTCTTGACAATCGGCCTGTCCTCCTAAATCATCGGCTGGCGATCCCCAGCAAGTAGCTAGGATTTTTTTTTGTTTGAAATCGTACCATTTAGTTTAATAAGTATATTGGACATCGAGCAAGGTACGTAAAAATTGTAGTAGTCAAAAATTTGTTATAATAAACTGATGTTGGAATAATTATTAAGATAAGAAACTAGATAAAATAACGCTGATGTCATTCCGAAATAACGAGTTATTAAAAATTTGCCAGTCATTTAGATTTTTTTATAATTACTACGTATATAACATTATGTGCTATAAAGTTTTTATTTAGACGGCTACGAGACATCGCTGGTGTAAAAAAATGATATTAAGAATATCAGTTTTATATTTACTATGTGTTACTTTATCATTTATAGAGAGTGCTCGAATATTGGGTGTATTTCCTACACCATCCATCAGTCACCAAGTTGTTTTCCGTACCCTAACACATGAATTGGCACGGAGAGGTCACGAGGTTGTTGTTATTACAACGGACCCTGTACATCCAAAAGAAAAGGTTCCCGAAAATTTAATTGAAATAGATGTCCATGATTTGTCTTATTCAAAATGGAACAAGGTCGTGTCTGAAATGGAAGATGGTTCAAGAGATGTCACCTCGCAAGTGAAAGCAATGATTCTTATAGGCATGGAAATTTTCGAAGATCAAATGAAGACTGAAAGTGTACAAAAGTTGTTATCATATAAAGATGATCATTTTGACTTGATTCTGGTCGAGGCCTTGGTATCATATACTTTAGGATTCTCGCATATTTTTAAGTCACCAGTTATTTTAGTTAGTTCTTTTGCTGGAGTTTGGGAAAACTATGAATCTATAGGAGCGCCAACACATCCAATTTTATATCCGAGTTCAGTAAGAGATAGATTAAACAATATAACAATGTGGGAGAAATTTGTTCAGTTAACAAAAGAGTACAAAATGAAAAATGAGAATAAAAACTATGATATCGCGAACAAGTTAATCAAGAAAGTATTTGGTGCGGACACTCCTCCAATTCAGCAGTTGTTTGATAATGTAGCAATGTTATTTTTGAACGTGCATCCTATTTGGGATAACAACCGACCTGTGCCTCCAGGTGTGATCTACATGGGTGGATTACACCAGAATCCAATGAGAGAATTACCTAAGGTATGGCTTATTAAAATAATTTGAATTCTATAATGCCGTCTACACTTTATGCTAGGTAGCAATTTCACATGTAACTAAACGTTGAATGAAAGTTTATTCAACGCTATGTCTCTAGGTTTTATCTATACTTCTATATACTTACCTATATAGTAATACGTAAACACACACTATTTTGTGGCATAGGATGTCAGCAATCACAGCATATTTTTTGAATAATTCTTTCTAAAGTAAAAAGCCCTACCCTAACGACATACCTATGTTTCCATGCTATTAAACTTAGGGGGTAAATATATTAGAATGTCGTCGTAATAATAGATTAAGATGTCGGAAAGGGACCATAAACACAAGCTGCCAACATTAAGGAAGCAAGGTTAATATGGTTACGGTAATTTTCACATTTGCAATTGAGAATTTGACAGACGTAAGTAATAAGATGATGTTTCAAACAAAACTGTTTTTACAGGATATAAAAGAATATCTCGACTCATCTAAAAACGGTGTTATTTACTTTAGTTTGGGCACAAATGTAAAACCGTCTTACGTGCCTCCAGAAAAGCTACAAGCTATTGTAAAAGTATTTTCACGACTGCCGTACGATGTTCTTTGGAAATGGGACAACGATGAACTTCCAGGTCGATCAAATAATATAAAAATAGCCAAATGGTTGCCGCAATCTGATTTATTAAGTGAGTATTGCTGCTGGTTTTTAACCGACTTCCAAGAATCAATAGATCTCATAAGTCATTCGTAGTAGTAAGAAAAGCCAGTTTACTTTTGCCATACCACTCAATCAATTGTGAGACCCCAATGTCTAAGTCATTTCGTTGAACAATAAGCAATAACTTCTTATTTCAGGGCATCCAAAAGTGAAATTGTTCATAACTCAAGGAGGTTTACAGTCAACGGATGAAGCAATCTCTGCTGGAGTGCCTTTGATTGGTATACCCTTGCTAGCGGACCAATGGTACAATGTGGAAAAATATGTGGAACATAAAATTGGAGTCAGGATTGACATAGATACAGTGACAGAAGAAATATTCGAAACCGCAATACAAACCGTTATTAAAGACAAAAGGTATGTAATCTGCTACTTGGTACTTATACATATTACGTATAAATTCTGATCTACCTAAAAAGTTTAAGTCACAGACATTTGAATCGAAGAGCTGTGGCTCAAACACTAAATTAGCACCTAACGGTTCAAAGCGTTGTACTAAAACTCCGTGAGCCGAGTCGGCCTGGCATCTGTTCGAAACACAAACCATAATTCTATGCATTTACAAATTGAGCTGAGCTTCGAGAAAAAACACTGTTCTGCTTTACGCCTGTGAAACAAAATATTTTTTATCATTTAAATTTTTACATGACTATAGTGTAGTAGTTCGAGACCAATATGCAACAAAAATATGCACACAAATGTATTACTTTCTATGTTCCAGCTATCGTGAAAACATAGTGCGACTGCGCAGTATAATGAGTGACCAGCCGCAAAGTCCGCTAGAGCGCGCTGTGTGGTGGACAGAGCACGTGTTACGTCACGGCGGCGCGCGTCACTTGAGGAGTCCGGCCGCTAACATTTCGTGGTCTCAATATTTAGAATTAGAACTAGTATTTACTTTGGCTACTATATTAATACTCACTCTTTTAGTTCTTGTAATATTTATTAAGACGATTTGTAGCTTTATACATTCAAGTGTAACTACAAAAAGTAAAATGAAGAAGTATTAGTTAATACTTTTTGTTAAATAAGCTATATCAAATTTGAAAAAAAAAATGTGATGTCTGAAAGTTGAAAGAGAGTCAACTAACACGAAACAATGACTATGACAAAATGGAAAAATGTAAAATGAAAAAAAAATAAAAAACATTTAATGCATCATTTGCCTGTGTCATGTCAATAGTATATTCCATACAAGTAACCCTACAAGGATTATATGGCAGTTGGAACTTTGGTGAACTAACAATATTATCTTTAAAACGCCATATTTTGACCAATAAGAGAGCGGCAACTGACAGGAGAATGTCGCATTTCCATAATTTCTAAATTCGATTTTAGAAAAATATTGGTTTTATCTTCAACATGGGAAAAAACCACTAAGCCACCGACGCTCATAATTTTAATGCTTGTGATAAAAAATCCAGGTCATGATGATTTTTCATTTTGTATTTTATCTATACTATTATAATAAAGCGTAAACACACACTTCTTTGTTGCCTAAGATGTCAGCAATTATAGCATATTTTTGAATAGTTCTTTTTGTAATAAAAAGCCCTACACTTACGTCTTGCTTTAGACTATGTTCACGCCATTCAACAAAGGGGATTAATATTTTGGATAAAAACCCTAATGTAGGAAAGAGACCATAAGTTGCTGCCAACATCAAGAAAGCAAAAATGCCATAGTAAGGTAATTGCTATTTTGACATTTGCAGTTGATTATTTGACACATGTAAACTATAAAATAACATTTTCATTAGTTTATGCAGATGAAGTCGTAGAAGAACAGCTAGCTAATAAAATAACGAATTAGGAAGCACTTGTAACGATTTCCTTAAAACACGATATATGAATACATTATTTATGATTATATTATCTATTGCCCGCGATATCATCCGCGTGGAAAAAAACTTGTCATTTATTTCGATACTGTGTTAATTATAAAATTTAAAATGTAATTCATTTTAGTTTGTTCAGTTAAAATTAGTCTAGTCGTTTCGGAATTTACTCGGAACAGACTTGCGTTATAAGTAACGGAAATATGTGAACGAAATGCGTTTCTTTAATCATTACAGATTTCAATTTAATTTGTTAGAAATTTATTAACCTTTTAGTTTATGTAATGGTACAACTTCGTTCGGGCAAATTAAAAAAAAAACTTAGTGTTTTCTGAGTACGCTATCGTGTACTTCTCTGTGCTATTTAGTCGTAGTATCTTCTAACAAACGTAAATCCGTCCATCCATCTGAACTATCAAATTTTTAACATTAGTAATAAAGATTACCGGATCGATTATTACTAGCTGATTACTGAAAGATTCAAGTTTGAACGTTTGTATTTAATTGATATGATAAAACATTGAAGATATGAAACAGAACTTTGTACACTACGTTAATATAATTTTTTTTTTTTTACTAATAAAACAAACAATCAATAAAAAATCGCACCCAGATTGTAAAAATGCGACATTTTTTTCGTAATTACAGATGAATTACTGTCATGTAAAGAAGAATATTTCGACTGGCTTACTGAGCACAAAGTCCGCTAGAGCGCATTGTGTGGTGGACGGAACACTTGCGTCACGGCGGCGCGCATCACTTGAGGAGTCCGACCGCTCTGGCTGCTATATTAATAATAGCTCTATTTTTTTCTTGGTATAGTTTCTAATTCGATTTGGAGTTTTATAAATTCTAATGTGAGTATAAAAAGTGAATTTTAAAAGTTTTAAGTAGTTTTTCACTTGTGTATTTTACAACGAGATGTTTTTGCTTTAGGTAAGGTAAATATTTTTTAATATTAGAAACATATACATCAACTTTATTTATCTGTATGATGTTTACGTCATTAAATTAGTACGCACGTACTTACTCCTTAGGCTTGTGAAACACCGCACCGATTACTCGTGCGCAGAAGCTTTGCAGATAGGCTCATGACGTCACTAGTAAACTGACAACTGAGCAGTGCGGGGCGCGGTCGATGTTAGTACGAGTCATCGGCAAACCTGCGCCAGCTCTTAGTAACAGTCAAATGGTTAGAACGTGCATACTGAGTGATCATTACGTATATAGTTGATATGATTAATTCGATAAATTATAATCCATTTACATATGACTTTGTTTGTACATATAGTTAATATTAAATATTATCATTGTTGAATCGATCAATCAACGGTAGATCACACAGAGATTGTAAATAAATGTGCCTATAATTTAAAAAATAATGAGGTTGATGCTGTCAATTTTAATTTTTCTATGTTTAAGGAAATCTTTACCGCGCCGCGGAACAGAGCTAATGCGTCACGGCAGCGCGCGACACTCGAGAAACCCGGCTGCCAACATCTCTTTAACTCAATTTTTTGTATTAGAACTAGTAGTTTCTCTGCTGTGTTAATACTTTCAGTATACATTTTTTAACTCGATTTCCCTAGAGTATCAAATTGATCGCTGTTCGTAGGCATCGGCAATTGTAGCCCTTCAATCAAGACAGGAATTGACACAAATGTGTTACTAATTCTTATGTCTTAGTTTGGCTTCCTATGAAAATCACTCATAAGACAAAATACGGATTTACTACCACTTTAAGCTTGGATTCCTTATAGTGAAGGTGTGTGCGAAAAGACATGATCTCAAACGTGGTAATTGAGATAAAAATTGTCAGCTGTTTGTTGAAATTATTAAATAAAACACCGGCACCATTATAAAACAATTTTAAGATAAGTAAAATTTACATGTTGCCAGTCATCGTCAGTTTACTGTTTATAAAACATAATGTTTCATTTGTGTTTGTTATAGACGGTAACGAGACGTCGCGAGAAACGGGCGCTAAATGATGAGACTAAGAATATCAGTTTTATATTTACTATGTGTTACTTTATCATTGATCAAGAGTGCTCGAATATTGGGTGTATTTCCTACACCATCGATCAGTCACCAAGTTGTTTTCCGTTCCTTAACACATGAACTGGCAAGACGAGGACATGAACTTATTGTTATAACAACAGACCCTGTGCATCCAAAAGGACAAGTACCTGAAAACTTAACGGAAATAGATGTCCACGATTTGTCTTACAATATATGGAATAAAGGTATTTCAGAACTGGAAGATGGTTCGAGAGATGTAAACAAGCAGGTTCTAGCAATGATGGGTTTAAATTTTGAGATTTTTGAAAAGCAAATGAAATCTAAAAGTGTGCAAGAGTTATTGACATACAAAAATGATTATTTCGACTTGATACTTGTCGAGGGTATGTTGTCATACACTCTAGGATTTTCGCATATTTTTAAAGCGCCAGTAATCTTGGTTAGCTCTTTTGGCGGAATATGGGATAATTACGTGGTTATGGGAGTACCAACACATCCAATTTTATATCCGAGTATGGTAAGAGATAGATTAAACAATATAACAATGTGGGAAAAAATTATGCAGTTAAAAATAGAATATAACATGCGAAATATCGATACAAATAATGTGATGGTGAATAATCTATTGAAGAAATTGTTTGGTGCTGACACTCCTCCGGTTACAAAATTGTATGACAATGTTGCAATGTTATTTTTAAACGTGCATCCTATTTGGGACACCAATCGTCCCGTACCTCCAGGAGTTATCTATATGGGTGGTTTACATCAGAATCCGATAAAAGAATTACCAAAGGTATGGTTTTTACCTTTTAAATAATTATTTAAGAGATGATGTTACTAATATTATATATGCGAAAGTTTAGATGGATTATTATTTTTTATTATTTATTGAAAATATTACATAAAAACAAATTAAAAATGCGCACAAATAAGGCACCGCAAAAACCATATAATTGGTTTGTCTGCGGGTGCGCTGGTTACAATTTACAATATAACATATGTAGAGTGTCGTAGTGGAGTGTAAGATACTTTTATGACATTTTTTTTGTGTAAAATTATATAAAATACATACATACATAATGTACTGTATATAAATAAAATATTCTATTCAAGGGCTATTATCAAAAAGATGGCTTTCCAAACGTTTAACAAATAGTTTAAATTTAGAATTTAAATTATTTGTTTAAATAGATGATTGTTTGTTAGAGTTTGTAGACTAACCTGCTGAACGGATCTCTGTGTCATTTGGCATAGATGTTGAGGACAGTCTAGAAGAACACATAGGCTACTTGCTTTATTTTGAATTCCACGTGGACTGAGTCGCAGGCGGAAGCTAGTAATAATACATTTTAATCTTATTTACTGTGTATATCTTCGTTTTTACTCATGTTTCCGGTATATTTTTCCAGGATCTGAAGTCATATCTCGATTCATCTCGGAATGGGGTTATTTACTTTAGTTTGGGCACAAATGTAAAACCATCTTACATGCCTCCAGAAAAGCTGAAAGCTATTGTAAATGTACTTTCACGACTGCCTTACGATGTACTTTGGAAATGGGACAATGATGAACTACCAGGTCGTTCAAGCAATATAAAATTATCCAAATGGTTGCCACAATCTGACTTATTGAGTAAGTGTTTTTGGCATTTTTTTCATTCACATATATTGTCATGTATCGAAGAACTATTTACACTAATGCAGTACTTAAATAGAAAATATACCGTGAAATTGATACATATATAAAATGTATTATTTGGACATACCGCTTCAAACATGCAGGTCAATACTCCGATTTGCCTGATGACAAATAACTTGCCTATACATATATACTGCATGTCACTAGTTACTAATATACATTGTAGTCTCTGTTTCGTCAAAGGAAAAGTAAGGGATGACAATAACATTATACTAGTTGTTGTACGCGACTCCGTCTGCGGGAAATTAAAGAATAATATGAAATATAGCCTATGCTACTCACAGATAAATAAATTTGCTAATAGTGAAAAAGTAGTTTTTAAGTAAATCAAATACATACAAAAAAACAAATCTCTCCTCTTTATGATATTAGTAAAGATTATATAGTTAATAGAAGTATCATGATTTCATGATACATGCATGAATAATTTTTATCTGAAATAGACGTCAGAACGTTTGCGTGATAGATATCAAAAGATAGTAAATTGTACTATTCTTTCATGTCTCTCTATCAATCGTTTTTATCAGAATTAATTCCTTTAAGTAAAACAATTTATCAGTAGTAGAGTCCGCAGCAGCATTAGATATTTCAAATGTGGGTGTCGAAATACATAGAACTACTCAAAATAAGACTAAAATGTTGCAGCTGCTAATGTAGGCTAGATCAAGGGGGCACGCCAATACCATGTATAATGCGCGGAAAATATCCTTGCCCATAATCTACATTCTCTTCTGTGCAACTTTTGTTACATTTCCACTCATAGCTAATTTCAATAAGCATGGGGTTCATTATTTTTGTGATACTGAGTAAGCGCTGGTTCGTCAACTATCTACAAGTTTCGAAAATCCTTTTTTCAGGACATCCAAAAATAAAGTTATTCATAACTCAAGGAGGTTTACAATCGACAGACGAAGCGATCACTGCTGGAGTACCTTTGATTGGTATACCCTTGCTAGCGGACCAATGGTACAATGTGGAAAAATATGTGGAACATAAAATTGGAGTCAGGATTGACATAGATACAGTGACAGAAGAAATATTTGAAAGCGCAATACGAACCGTTATTAATGACACAAGGTACAAAATATGGATAAATTTTTATGAATTTGAAAAATACATTTTATTTCTATGCTATTGAAACTATTTTACAACTACATACGAGTATTTAGTTCTAAACAATACAACATACCCATTCCGAATGAAGGGGCCGGCCCAATATGTATGTATGAATTTACTTCCTTCTTACGTATGTCCATAGTTCCGTTGGTATACGCACGCACAAATCCACCCATATTTAGTCTCAATATTTTCTTGTTTAAATGATTATCGACTATTCGTATAATACTTTAATTTGTCCAATCTGTTACTATGTAGTATCAGGTTGGACAAAATAGTGCACAAGTTATGAAGATTTTTACGTCTCTGTCATATCCTCATCGCATTGAAAAAGTGTACCGAGGGATATAAAATCACAGTAATTTGGTAGACCTACACCGGAGGTCAGATGGTAAGAACGCCAAAATCATTGTACAAATATTTTGTTTGAGTTCTGTTGATTTTAGAACCGGCTCCCTCCAATTTATCTCGACATTTCACTAACGTGCTGGGCAATTCATGCTTCCTCACAGGCACGATGTCATCGGCAATCGAAAATGATATAAATATTTCTGTTCCAGCTATCGTGAGAACATAATGCGACTGCGCAGTATAATGAGTGACCAGCCACAGAGTCCGCTAGAGCGCGCTGTGTGGTGGACAGAGCACGTGCTGCGTCACGGCGGCGCGCGTCACTTGAGGAGTCCGGCCGCTAACATTTCGTGGTCTCAATATTTAGAATTAGAACTAGTATTCGTTTTGCTTTTAGTATTTATTGTTTTGCTTATTATTCTGTGTACAGTTTTAAAGATGATATTTAATTTTTTAAATTCTAATTTATATGCTGTAGTTAAAATGAAAAGATCTTAATTAGCTAATAGTTATGTGGGTGTATTACTTGGAATATTGTGGAGTGATTTAGTTTAGTGTTAATTTGTGAAATTATTTGATAAATTAACACTAAACTAAATCACTATAATAGAATAACAACTGAAATAAGGAAAAATTGTAGAAATTATTGTAACAGGGAAATGTATTTAGTAAGAATTATACAACTCATTAAATAAATTATTTTTAAACATGTATTCTTTACTTCTTAATTCCTTTTTCCTTGGTCAAGCTATCACACATGAATTTTTGTATTGATATTTCTAATACTATTCTGTTATGTTTATTATTATCAGATGATTATGATAATTAAAAAAAGAAACAACGGATCTCGATTAAATTTAAAATTGCAAAGTATTGCCTGCCATAAATGTTATAGCAATAGTATGTTACTGCAAATTTCTTTTTTATTTCTACAAAATTGTTGTTAAAGAAGGGGGAGGTTCGTTATATCCTGTTTGATAATACTTATGTATCCATTATGTTAAATATCTTTGTATAAAGTAGACGATCAGTGTAATATTTCCAATTTAAGGTCTCATTTACAAACATATTTTTGTCTTAGTATCATCAAAAGCAATGAGAGATGTGTCTATATGTGTTTTTTTAAACGCAGTAGATATAGATGCAAAGCCAAAATTTAAATAACAACAATATTGCTACATTTTTAATTATTAACTACATTCCGAACAGATTATTATTCATATAAATATCTTTAACAAATACAATTATCGTTAATATTTTGCCAGTCATCTTAAAACCAGTTGTATATAAAGTGTATAAACGAATACGTTTTGAATCAGATCTAACAGAAAGTTGTTGCAAATCGAACGATGATTTTAAAATTAATTTTATATTTATTATGTCTTTTAACATATATAAATGCATCTCGAATATTGGCAATGTTTCCAATACCATCGATCAGTCATCAAGTGGTATTCCGGCCAATAACACAAGAGCTGGTAAGACGTGGTCATGAAGTCATAGTTATAACAACAGACCCGGCATTTCCCAAAGGACAAGCACCTAAGAATCTCACGGAAATTGACTTGCATGATATGTCATATACAATGTGGTGGAACCTTCTCGAAGGAATCGAAAATATCAGAGATCCCATTCAGCAGTTGAAAAAAATCATAGATGTGTCATATCCTATATTTGAACAGCAAATAAAAACCGAAAGTGTTCAAAAGATATTGAAATACAAAAACGACTACTTTGATTTAATACTTGTAGAAGCATGTGTGAGACCAGCAATTGGACTGTCTTATGTTTTCAAAGCGCCAGTTATTCAAGTAAGTTCGTTCGGTGCAGTGTTGGACAATCATGATATAATTGGAACACCAACACATCCAATTTTATATCCAAGTATGCTTCGAGATAGATTTTACAATTTAACAATGTGGGAGAAAATAATTCAAATAAAGAAAGAATTTACTTCGATGATGATCAAGAGGAATAGAGACTATGATAATGAAATTTTAAAAAGAACATTCGGTGAGAATATACCACCCATTGAGGAATTGTATGACAACGTTGCAATGTTGTTTTTAAATATGCATCCTATTTGGGAGAACAATCGTCCTGTGCCACCGGGTGTTGTTTACATGGGAGGACTGCACCTGAATCTGATAAAAGAATTACCAAAGGTATGTAATAAACATAAACCCGAAGAAAGTTTGGATGGATTGTATGAAAGAGGATATGTTTAAGAAGGGAGAGGATTCAAATATGACGGCTGAGATATGTATGGAAGAGTAGCACATACTGTGCCGACTCTGTCATCCGTCATCTCAGTCATTACTCCCTTCTTGATCATGTCACCTACCTAACTACCTACCTATATCGGTGTACCCCTCCACAGTCATAACTAACGTCCTTCTTGTTACATGCGATTCATCCCTTCTCAAAACATGCCCATACCATACTAACGTTTGATGTTAACTAATGTAATAAACGATTGTAGTGTGTTTATAATTATTATTTTTTTAGGATCTGAAATCGTATCTTGATTCTTCAAAGAATGGCGTTATCTACTTAAGTTTGGGCTCCAATATCAAATCTTCAAATCTGCCGCCGCCAATTCTGCATGCTATTGTTAAAGTGTTCTCACGATTGCCGTACGATGTTTTGTGGAAATGGGACGTTGATGAATTACCTGGACGTCCAAGCAACATTAAAATATCAAAATGGCTGCCACAGTCCGACTTGTTGAGTAAGTTTATTCTTAAATGATTTTAGTTTGAGATCATAGTTAATTCTTTCTATCATTGCATGTTAATTCAGAAGAATTTCACAGAAGAAGAAGAAGAAAGAACCCAGAAGGGTTAAATCGTTTTAGTTTCGTTTTTTCTGATGTCCAACAAGAATATAACCGTGATTTCTAAACTTTTTCCTTTTGTTTCAGGACATCCAAAAATAAAATTATTCATAACTCAAGGTGGACTGCAATCAACAGACGAGGCGATCAATGCTGGGGTCCCTCTAATTGGAATACCTTTAATAAGTGATCAGTGGTATAACGTGGAACAATACTTATACCATAAAATCGGTTTGAGACTTGACATCGATAAAATTACGGAAGAAACTCTTGAATCCGCTATAAATACCATTCTTAATGACAATAGGTAAGATAAATAGTTAATTACTAGAAATTGACTACAGCTTTAGTTTGTAGTGTATTTTCTTTAACGAAATATATGCGATTTTTTCCTTAATATTGAGTAAGTTAAGGACCTGTCCCACCAAATTGTAAACTTTCTGATAAAAATCCAATGTGTAATGTGATTGAAACATCGGGTTTTGCCCCTTATCTGACACTAACGTCATTTTTAAGCTATCTGAGCCTCTATTAGTCAGTGGTAGGCAGGCCCTAAAATTATAATTGTTTTTATGGGTGTAAAAATTAAATATATTTTTTTTCCAGCTATCGTGAGAACATACTCCGACTGCGGAGTATAATACATGACCAGCCGCAGAGTCCGCTAGAGCGCGCTGTGTGGTGGACAGAGCACGTGCTGCGTCACGGCGACGCGCGTCACTTGAGGAGTCCGGCCGCCAACATCTCATTAACTCAATATTTAGAATTAGAACTTGTATTTACTCTAGTTACTGTAGTAGTAATCTCTTTTCTTGTTTTGTATAAAGTTTGTAAGACGATTTTTAAATATTTATGCACAAATGAAGCTGACGTTAAAATCAAAAGGTCTTAATGTATAGATCATATTAATATTTGAAATATAATACAATTTTGGACATTACTGCAGTTTTTTTCACTATTTTCCCAAAATAAGGACACTGTCAATTAGCCAATATTTTTTATTCAGAACTAAAAACGTCTACCAAATTAATACATATAGATATATAGATGAACTAATAAAGAGTAAGTGGATGCAATTTAAATAAAATAAAAGAGTTGAATAATGTTATTGCTGGCAATACATTACTCATTGGCATGGCTATTGGCATGCGGATGATCCCAGGGTTCTCGCGGAAGATCAGCGATGGGTGACTTATTGAGTAGCAACCAGCATTCAAAGCTGAGCGTAGACCCAAACCGGTCAGCATTGCAATGATTATAATCTTTTATTTAATTGAAATATTTTTCTATTTATTTACTTATGTCATGTTTGTTTTTCTTTTGTTATTTCTGATTGCGTTGTAGTGTTCTAAAGTTAAGTAAATGTTATTTTATTTCATTTCATTGGACTTAACTTCTCGGGGGCTACCCATTCTCCTGGGTATAAAAAAAATAGTATGACATCTGCAACATAACTTATTTGCTTCAGATATTCATTAACAGATAAACTAACTTTTAAGTAGTAAAGATTTAGTACTGCTATGCACAGAAATCAACAAAACTAGTACGACAAACGTAGAACACACATATGATACCGATCCTTAGGGACGAGGGCAAGATGATGATAATCTAATCTCTGATACGATGATGATATTTGACACAACAGATTCGATACAACTCGTGATTGTATCAAGTTTACTAATTTAATTTTCACGTGTAAAACTCCATACATTATTTGAAATTTCCTACGTTCGAATACCGATATGCAATATGTGATGCAACCTACACATATCGACGAAGAAATTCAAAGATATGTGTGAAGTCAACCAACCCGCATTGGGACAGCGTGGTTGGCTATGGCCTAATCATTTACTTAGGGTAGACACCGAGCCCTTCGGTGGGGACATATAGTGAGCTGGTGATGACGATGATGATGAATACCAATATTGTGCGTTAGTAAACTACCGTTTCAGTAGTCTAGTATATTGAATACTAGCTGTTGGTGGTGACTTCATGCCCGTGAAATAAAAAAAAATAGCCTATCTTACTAGTGAGTAGTATTAGTGGATAACGTAGCTTTTTAATAGTGAAAGAATTTTTGAAATCGCTTCGGTATTTGAGTTATTTCAATACATACAAAAATTCTAATGTTTACTCTTCATATAATTAGTATATTTTGTTATTTATGTAAAGTGTGATGTCATCTGTGACCCCACTTAAAAACATTTCATTATCTTATCAATGAAGGTCGACTTCCAATTTAAAAGATTATATCTATGACTTAACAATATCTTATCGTAAAAAAATTACTATATTGATTATTATTATACTAATTGTCAAAAAATTAGTACATGTTTAAAATCTCAATAAGTTATCTGTACTAATATCATAGAGGAATTATATTATTTTTGTAACGAGTATAACTCAAAAACTACTGGACTGTTTTAAAAAAATCTTGCTATTTATTATATTTTTTTTACATTTATTTTGTATTTGATAGCAAAGAGAGGACGGACAGCTAAACTATCATAGTCAATTTCTGTAAACAATTATTTAATTGAAAATTGCATTGATTGAACAAAAAAAAAAAATGAAAACTGATTAAAAAAGAGACCGAAATTAAACCAACAATGGGAAATTGGAAGTTTTATGTGTACTAGTTTATTTTGCAAGTGAGTGTACATTACAAAATCAGCTTGTTTCGACGTGGATATCATGTATTGTAGTAGAAACGTCACGAACCGTCTTTCTGATGAAATTTAATCAACGCTTATTCGTAATAATTTTATCAAAGTATCAAATATGAGGTCATCAACGTAATTACAAACAGGGAAGGATAAATAGAGATATGGTTATGATAAGGCAAATGTACCATTATATAAAAAAACGAGTTCTAAACAAAATACACTAATAACATAATATTCTAAAAAACAATACCCTAAAAAGTAACGAAATTTCATGAAATAATTAACCTCCCTTATAGCTGTTATGTCTATATTGTACAATTATTACTTTTATGTAGGTGTCAGCCGAAGTAGACAGTCATATTTATAGCTAAGGCTGTCTACATTTTTAACATAACAATTGGCATAATTAAGGAGAACAAGGAGAATGTTACTTATCAGTGTGGAAGGGTAGAGGTAGACCTAGAAAGAGAGGGATGGATTGCATGAAAGGTGACATAAAAAAGTGAGTAGTTGAGATGACATATGATAGAGTTATGTGGAGGACAAAAACCTTTCACGCCGACCCTACGGGAGTAGAATAAGGAGGAACACGATGAATTGGCATACGCAATTAAACTTATAGTAAACGAGCTGTTGCCCGCGACTTCGTCCGCGTGGTATTAGAAAACATACGAACTATATAAATAACAAAAAGCTACATATCCTCCTACAGCTACAGAACCTCATCCCATGTGTACTCCAGACTTTGTTTTATATCTATGCCAAATTTCAAAAGGATATATTAAACCATTGCAGAATGATCGAGTAAACATTAAAAAACTAAATTAATAAATCCCACAGGAACCGTCACTATTCCGGGGATAAAAAGTACCCTATGTGTTCTTCCAGACTATGCTCTAAACCTGTGCCAAATTTCATGGAGTTCAGCCGTTTAGGCTACAAACGCTAACAAACATCCATCCATCCATCTATCCATCCATCCATCCATCCATTCATCCATCCATCTAAACTTTCGCATTTATAATATTAAAAAATAAGTAAGAAGTAAGATAAGATTTTAAGAAGTGAATATTGACTGACACAGCCGTAATAACAAAAGCTACTAATATTATTAAATTCCATATTCGAAACATCGCCTTCCTCGTTAAATACTTTTCTAATAAACTGGTAAGAGGATTAAATTAGACCTAAACTTTACTGCGCCGATTGCATAACATTGATGCCAATCGACACCCTCAAGTTTATTCCGTAGATCCCAAGTGGATTTGGTACTTTTTGAGAATTTCCGTACGCTAATCGTCTTATATCATTGTTGAAATATAATTATAAATGAATGACTTACAAAAGAGCCTAGTTTAATATAACACACACGGGACGTTGTTGCCCTGTTTTTTTGTAATCAACAACAGATTGGGCTTGTTTAGTCTGCGGTTGTTTCTCGTTAAACTTGATGAGATGTTGCCGTCACTGCGTAACTTTATTTAAGGGTGAATTTCAAATTGAGCAGCCGGAATGGCTCTCATTTACGTGTTATTTGGGCAGGATAAAAACTGACTTCTTGATATGCATATTAAAAAAAACCTTAAAAGTAATTCTTCATTACATTACAAAAATTAGAGTGTCTGTTTGTTATGTCAAAAGAAAAATTCCAGATTGCGGAAAGATGATGTATTTGCGTTGCTGATAACGAAAACCGTTTAAAATTTTATTGTCTGTCTGTCTGTACGCAAGCCGTGTTAGTTCCGGGTAATCTCCGAAACGACTGGACCGATTTCGACCGGACCCGCACTGAAGGGTAGCTGACATATATAGATATAGATAAACATGAATTTCCATTGTCATCTCTTTTCCTCGCTATAAAATTGTAACAAGTTTATGTAAGGTTTTCCGTCAATGGTAGAACCCGCTTTAACATCTTGACACTAATAGACTTCGCCTAGTGTAATATCACAACCACACAACAGACGTACATTGGGAACAGTTCCACCTTTCATTTAATGAGCAGCAACCCACAGCATATAGGTAATATTTAAACGCAGTTTAAAATAAAAACAATAATGATTATGTAAATATGTACACATTTTCCTTTTAACTAAATCATTTTGAAATGAAATTAATTTTTTTCATAAAACTACTAGCGCAGATATAAATTTCGACTTAAATATATGTTCGTTAAAGTTTTTCTATAAAAAAAGATTAGTAGGAATGCTTTTTTAAATATTAATATCGAATAAAATTAATATTTTCTAAATGTAATAGTGTGTTACAAGAATTAGAAATTCATCAGACGACAGAAAATTAATTCTGTCGCAACTGTTTAACCGAATTCTACAAACTTTAATGAAAACCGTCGTGATTTGATAATAATAATTTTAGAAGCAATATAAATTTTTAAATATAAAATATGAAAGAAAAAGCAATCTTTTTTTCACACAAAAATAAAATATATCAAAGATTTGTGAGTGAAATACCGTAAGTTTTTACCTTTATGTTCGATAATATTAATAAAACTACATATAAATAGAAAAATATAAGTACAAAAATACTAAGTAACTTAAGTCAATAATTCATTAAGAAAAAAGAGTAAACGAGTGTTAAATAATTCCATTTATATGCAACTAAAATATGTATACCATTAAATTAAATACAGATATTATAAATTTAGAGAAATAGAGTTTATTTAACTCAAAATCATAAAAGGTCGATGACTGAGCAAAGGAAACTTCTCGAACTTTCTCGAATCACGAATTGCAAAGTCAAGATTTGTGTACAAATTAAATACGCGAGCGGAATTATCGAATCTGTTTTGACGCTTGTTAATTGTTATTCAGCTATTCAGCAACATGTAAATGATTTTGAAATTAACTCTTACTTACATTTCTTGTGATGCCATTTAGTACGCCGATCTTCAAATTAATTTAATTGTTTATAACACACGATTGTTTTTTAATAAACACTTTTTAACTAACCATTATTTTTAATGTTTACCTCGGCCCCTGTACATAATACACTAGCAATTCTTCGGGAACGAACATTTGCTGACCCAATTAAACACATTAAATTCACATTTTTATTATTATTTCATTCCAATAACGCTAAAAACGCTGAAATGTAAAAAAAAAGAAAAATGTTTGATAATTGACAAAAAAGTGATAGCAAAAGCTGACGGTTTCAATAATTATTTTAAACGAAGTTTAATGTAGTTATTACAACCTCTTTGGTAGAT